TCCGTCGTCATCTTCCAAAAGGGTCAACCAACTTGGAATGGCGTCCGTAAACTTTTCGAACGGATGATTTTAACTTCACCACAGGGAACTCTTGGTTTAAAGGCTTTTATGCAACCCTCTATCCAGGAACTCAAAATAGGAAATGCAAGCTCTGGAATATCGTATCAACTCAAAGATATATACTCTATATGAAGGCGCTGTTGGAATGTTTCTACATAAAAATAGAAAATTCACAATTGGAAAACTAGAATGATCTCTTTGTCGCAAAGTTTTGTTCTCAACCGACTATCATTGTCAATTTCTAGATGTATACACATATCGGTAATTTGGAAATAAAATGTTGTAAGAATTATTATTTCAGGATATAACGATAAACTTTGTTTGCGACAAGAGTTATGTATTGACATTTTTTTTAAAAATTTTCATTGCTGATAGTCCTTTACATATTATATATATATTATTATCATGGCTTTTTTGTTTAACTTACCGAAGTCAATTGGCTGTCCTCTTACCACCTAAAATATAATAAAAAGTATTAATTTGCAGGAAAGAAAACATTTATTAATTTTATATTTTGTATGGGAAATTGAAAGTCAAGGATGTATAAACCGTTGAAAAATGATAACATAAATTTTTGAAGTGCAAGCTGCACGCAGACAAGGAATATGAGATAGACCGGGTAAAATAAGCTTTCAACGTAAACACTACTGTTTACAACATCAATTGAACTAACCTTGCAGAGAGTGTGTGGGTTCTGTATATTACCACTTTCAGCAGCTTTTCTTATGTCATTAAATGTTATGTTTGAACCATCAAGACATCTCCGAAATGTTTCAAAATTCAACCTTTCTGGTTCTTCCCCTAATGTCTCATACAGCCTTTCCCATTTGTCATACTGCATCCCTAAATGAATTACTAACTCTTTGGTTTCGTTTACGCTGTAACACATTGACAACCGACGTAGATGAATATCTGTTGGAAACTGCTTCAAGAAATCAGTATCGGTCGCTAAAAATTTCAACGAATAATGAGTTTCTGAATATAAAAGAAATGCTAAAATGAGAACTGCTTTTAAGTATTAAAGACTATTACAGAAATACTTGAAAACTCAAGTAAATCATATCACACATCTGTCTTATCGCTGTGTATCATTTCTGAGGGATTAATATTTGCCGGATGGTTCAACCGACCAACAGGACATTGCTTTATTATTAGAATGATCCGAATGAATTTAACCCCTGTATCTTTTAATATCTAGATCATAAAATTTTGCAAATGAACTGAACACTAAGCTTGCATGCAACCATACCAGACAAAGGAGAGGTGAAAGATACCAAAGGGACATTCAAACTCATAAGTCGCAAATAAACTAACAACGCCATGGCTAAAAAAAAAATACCAACAGACAAACAAAAGTACTCAAAACACAACATAAAAAACTAAAGACTGAGCAACACAAACCCCACCAAAAATTGGGGTTGATCTCAGGTGCTCCGGTAGGGTAAGCAGATCCTGCTCCACATGTTGCACCCGTCGTGTTGCTCATGTTAGTACAAACCCGATAATAAGTCTAATTCGGTAGGTCACATTCGGGAAAAGGGGACGGGATTGTAGCTACGACATTTGGAGCATATCCGCTATCATCTGTGAAACAGATATTTCGTAACGGTCAACCAACTCGTGATGGCATCCGTAAAATTTATGAGGAGATGATTTCAATTTTACCACTTGGAACTCTTGGTTTAATAGCTTTCTTGTGAGCAGCAACCCTCTATCAAGGAAATCATGATAGGAAATACAAGCCCTGGAGTATCGTATCAACTGGGAAATATATACTCCCTATGCAGGCGCTTCTGGAATGTTGCTACATGAAAATGGAAAGTTCACAATTGAGAAGCTTAAATCATCTCTTTTGTAAAATAGTTTTGTTTTCAATCGACCCTCATTGTCAAATTCTAGATGTAAGTCAAGATATGAGGCAGACTTAACTGTAACTGTTGTTTCCTTTATCTTGAATTCAATTGGATAGATTCGTTAAACATAGTCACCAAATTTTGAATTATTTAGTGAGAGAACATCATCTATGTAGCGGAAAATAAAGTTAAAGGATACTGCTAACTTCTTTTCTAAGTTGACCTACTGCAAACACTGTACTGTGTCTATTTGATCTTTAATTTGTTTCTTGCTCTTAAACATTTCACATAATATACTTACTTTCCTATCTTTAGATTAGAATGTACCTGATGGGAGTTATTCCAAACGTATTCCTATGCTTGTATTGAGACTAATTTTTGCGACCAATTGTATTAAACACATATAAACACACAGGTTATATACATACTAACAAAAAGACGTGTTATGAAATTAAAAACGTACGAAGAAACAGGTTATAAGTTGTATGCTTTGACAAACCGAAACCGTTCATTCCCATAATTGGGAAATTGTCTACCACTAGTATATATTTATTGGTATATTTGTAGGTATGTACGGATTAATTGTATGAGTTGAATTTTAATCACGAATAATGCACTGAAAATCATAATTTCCAAACAAATACTTATTATAATAGATTTTGACTAAAATGTTAACTTTTCAATAAACAGTAAAATGTTACAAAACATGATATAAATCCCCAATTTATAAGTTATTTCATACATAATTCTTTAATTAAAGATAATGATGAAATGAGTCAAATATAAATCATCAATGAGGAAATTCAACACGCCAGGAAACAAAAATAAACAAATAAAACCGGATAAAACAATGGACAAAAACTAAGAATTGAAATACGAAAACCACTACTTAGCCCGTACGGAAATCGACTGACAGACAAACAATGCAAAGCTATTTATTACCTAGGCATGCCACTCCACACTGAATTTCTTCCTGAAAAATGTATAAATCATTAATTGTTACGTTAATTCAAAATAAGAAAAAAATTGCTACTTAATATATTTGTAAGTCATATTAACATTTGTACATGTGGCCTTTACTAAATAATCATTTGAATTTTATGCAGAATAGATTTGAAGTATACATAAAAATCAACAGTTGAACACTTTGGGAAAAAAAATAAGTTAATAAATGGCTTTAACTATTGTATCGTCGTTTGGCATGATATACACGGACTTTCAAAAGGAAAATACGTTTGCATAACGGTGTATGACAACACGTACACTTTTCTTCTTGTATCAAAGAGAATTCATAGGTATAACGATAATTCAGACTAAACCATATTGAGTTTAAAAACACACTTATTTTCTAATTTCTAAAACGCATTCGTTGTTACAAAATGAAAATAACACTTTATAACTTTATACCTTTTATGAAGGCAAAGCGCTTTTCAAGATTTTTCTCTATTAGGGACACTGAAAACCTCCCCAAAATAAATGTTCAGGGTGTATAAGTACCTGACAACGTGAAGAGCTATATTACCAAAAGGGATCATAATATACCATCCCGACTCATCCTATGTCAAGTATCAATGAGGGATTTAGAACCTTTGCTAATTGGAAGGTACTTATTTATCATTTCCTTCCATCAACATTTCAACTTGATATAAATATAAGTAAAAATGAAAGAAGATACTATAGGGCAGTCGGGTCGAAAACAATAAATTCAACGTTCAACACAATTACCAAACAAAACGGTCAGTTAACAATGCACAGAAAACTAAAGATTGCGTAATATGAATAAAACAAATATTCTGATAACCGCTGAAGTTTCATAAGTGACAAACATGACGCACGTGTTATTACTCATTTAAGAATAAATTGATTTGTTATAACCAGAGATAACGTACTTAACCGTAGCTAAAAATGCCTTGTCTAACTTTACGAAATACCATCATGTTTATAAACTGTCCGGACATGTAACCCCATGCATAATCCGATGTTAAAGTGTGAAAGATTTAAAAAAAAAATGTTTTCTTAAATGTTCCTATTAAATGTGTCGCACATCATTTATAACTGCTTCATACTAGCAGTTGACTTAACGGTTTGATCCAAATGTACACGAAAATCAAAAGAATAAATTCATAAAAGAGCATTTATGTTTTGCATTCTCAATTATTTGCACATTATTGTATTTCTGTAGCGACAAAACGACGATTTGTTTTGTTTAAATCATAATTGAATCGAATTGGTTAGACATATATGATTACTTATAGAGTTGAAGAGCATTACAAACCACAATGTAAAATATGACAAATCTGTCTGTGGATTTTTATGCACTTGGGTAGAAAAATCCTTTAAGGTTTTCAACACGTGTGACATTCTATCAACAGGAAAATCGTATCAATGATATTTAATGTCAGCGGAGTTGTACCGATTACAGGGTCGGTGATACCGCTGGATTAAAACGTCCACCAGCAACAGAAAACAGTGAAATAAGTTTTCCATTCTAAATACTCATTGCATTTATTTTCCAAACATAAAAATTTGTTTACGGTGTAATTTCTATAACATCGTCAAATAAATGACAAAATTGTAACCAACATCTGGTCGATTTATCTTGAATGTTGAATCAACACTAGCCACTGAAAACATACTCAGAAAGTATTATTTTTTCATAGTCTTTTAATACATTTTGGTCCATTTGTGTTGGTCACACAACTGTAATAGAAGGTAAAATTCCTAGAAATGCGGCATGAAATAATGAATGAACATTTTAACGAACCTTTTATAGAACCTAATTACATTCTTGTGCATTTAATGTTATTTACCTTTTGTAAGGCCCAAGAAGATAGAACATCTTTGGTGTGCTCAATTCCATGCTTTGGACATATCCATGAATCAGCTTGTTCTTCAAGTTTAAACATGGGCAGGAGACAAGGATCAACCGGCGAACCACAACACAAATTCAAGTTGAATGAGGAATTATCTGTAACAGATTCTGTGCTGCTTGTTTTGACGTAAAGCTGACTAGTTTTCTCGAGCGCAACAGCCAAACATTCTCTGATACTAGATGCTAGATCTCTCATGATAAGTGTTCGGTTTGTTGAATGAACAAGGCGAACAACAATGATCTTATCATCAAAGTTAACGCACATATCTAGAGATGGGTCGATTGTAAAGACTGCTGACCGATGAAACAACATTTCATCGTTCTTCTTTCCGTACCTTTTCACTGCTAAAAGACTCAAGCAATAACTGACAAATCTAAAGGATAAAACTGGAGGTATCATTAACGAGGATGTACTAAACGCTATAGCGATGTTTCTCTGTGCGAAGGTTGGCGACTCAAAATAACCAGTTGTATTTTTGGTTCTAACCATGCTGGCAACGTAGTAGAATTCGGCTGGTATACGTTTGTGCAACGTATCATACCGTTTTGGTTCAACCAGTATATCAAGATGTGTCATGACTCCTAGCAAATATTCATCATGTTCTTTAAGTTTCTTGTATTTACTCTTCATCCAGATTTTTGCTATAGATTTCTTCTCGATTACGCCTTTCTTGCTCATCAAATCCCAAGATACCGTTCTCAGGCTGTCACCTTCACAGAATCTCCTATCAGTAACGATTGATTTAAAGGCATCAATCAGGTGTGTCGGGGCAAGAATGATGTGTTGATCCAAATTTGCTTCATCAAAGTATAAGATTCGCCCGACAGAATGCTGAAACTTTAGAAATACTTTCAATTCATCTTCCGTCAGAGGACGAACAGGCTGATTGGCGTTTATCGTTTTCATATGCTCCATGGTTATCAAAGGAACATTGACATGTACAAGCGATTCAAATTCTAGTTCAAGGGGAATGAAGCATTTAGGAAGTTTTTGGCCCATGTCGGTTGCTTCATGGCTTGTTCAGTAATGATCATTTTAATCTTAAACATTTCTTGGTCAAGTTTGTCTTTAGCATTAACAAACATTTTGTCTTGAATTACTAAATGTGAAAGCAGCGGACTTCCCGAAAACATTTCCTCTATATCATTGAACATTTGTTGCCGTCTTGGTTCAACTTCCTTCTATAAACAATTATATTATCTTCAATATACTGTTTATTTGTTTTTATCCATCAATGAAAAAAAAGAAATTCTAGTCACAACAAATCTTTTTTCATGTTACCGTTTAGATTTAAATGAGATATGTTAATCATAGTTACATCTGTTTTCATCAATTTAAATGTCGCTATTTTGTTTTTATCATTTGTACCGTCGTTATTTTAAGTAGTTATATAAGTTTATTAACGTTTTTATGCAAAAGTTGTTGAAAGAATGTGTCTTTGAAATTTATTTATACACATGTTTGTTGAAAAGGGGGTTATTATTTCATTGCTTATAATTCTGGCCGTATGCAATCTCATTTCATTCTATGAAAAGTTCGAATTTTCAATGTAAAACGACGAAACAGAAAGAGTACGTTATCTTTATATCAGCAATACTAATCATTACATGTTTAAATATCACATGTAATATAAAATCAAACGGAATCTGTATCGTAAAATTGAACAAACACATATATAAGAATGTTTTTATTTAAGACCTTTGATAGAGAAAATAATATCTCTTCAATAATTACGCTCAATAAAAATAATAACATCTATAATATGATTGCACTATTCCTACTTTTTTTTTGTATCAACGGATAATTTCTTCAGTAGTAGGACGACACTCGGTGGTTTTTCGGTCATCTAACGGTACTATTTTTTTTTATTCTTTGTACTAAGTCAGGAGTATAACAGTGGTAACTTCGTACTTTATTTGGACTTTTTAACTTTTTTGGATTCGAGCGTCACTGAGGAGTCTTTTGTAGACAAAACGCGCGTCGGCGTTAATACAAAATTTAATCCTGGTATCTATGATGAGTTTATTTTCAACTGGTTTCTTCGATTGATGGCGTTTAATTTTGTTTTTATGGACTTTGATTTTTTTAATTTGCTTTGGAGTTTTTTTTTATTATCTTTCAAAATGAACTTAACAAAAAAGAGAAAAAAAAACATATCATTGTCTATCCGCCAAATTGAAATACCTTTTACATACACTGTACATTATCATGATTATAACATTCTTGGATGAATTGATAAATTGATATAATCCACCATCTCTATTTTTTTTAAATATAATTTAATAAAAAATTAAAAATAAACTTTAAATACATTGGTGAAGTCTGATTTTATCATGTTTATCAAAGTGTCTATTTTGTTTCAAATTGTTATTTTTTTATTAGTAAAAAATGTTTTTTGAGATTTGAACCATTTGTTTTATTTATTGTTTTCAATTATCTTATTAAGTATTATAGTTGATGCGACGATGAATGTATTTCATATTCAGTATTAACATACTAGACTTTTGTCATGCTAGTAACAAATAGAAATGTAGGGTATAGAAAGCTAAAGATATATCAATAAGACAACAACCCAGACAAATACACTGCAAAATCTTTACACATTGGATATATACTTACAGCTTTCAATTTATCCTTGTGCGTTAATGCAATGATGATCTTAGGAAACCCTGGTCCGCTTCCTTTACAGTATGTGACTATGGTATTTATCCAAAATTTCAAGTAGTCTAGAAAAATACAATGTCAGATTTATACCCGTAGCCCGGACCAGTAGAGACAGGTACATGTCATGCATTCTGAACATATAAGCGTATTGCATTATTGCCTTTAATTGTGCGACTAAATTTTAACTGAGTATACTCTTTGACGAGTTCAGTACAAACGAAAAGTTGGTTTTTGGTCGACAAGATAAGTTGAATCAACTCACACAGATTATCTTAATAACAGGTTAACAATATTATAGAAAACAGAAAACCAAAGATAAGACAATTGAAAGTTCAAAAATGAAAGTAGCAATCATGAATCAGTAAATCATTACGTAAACGATAGTTCAAACTTAACATTAACAATATGTACACATTCAACGTGCACGAAACGTGTCTATGTGATAATTTCCGACGCATCTTCAGTTTCTTATAACCTAACCAGCTTGCCCTATCCTTCTTGTCTTTATTTCAAATCATTTAAAGGCCAATAGTGAAGACATTTATGAACCTCTCTTTCTATATTGATGTTGTTACATTACTATGAATAATGTTTTGAGTAAAAGAGTCAAAATATATACCGCAAATTGTATTTAAAAGAAAGCTTTTGTTAGAACTGATCACATATATGATTTCCAATTTTCTAATGCTAGCTATGTGGTATTGTCTATTCAAAATATATTAAAAGGTACAATTTTTTATATAACTGATTTGGTTATTTATTTCTGCTGATACACACTCGGTATCAAAAACCTATTAAGCACTTACAATTTCTGTCAATGCCTACTAACGCTTCACATGTTCTCAATTTGAAAATCGGTATTGTGACGTGGGTGTAATAAACAGTCAATTTTGGAGGCATATAATTTTAAGACAACATTTTATGGGTGTTTAAAAACCTTTTGACTGCTGATAGAAGATTGCGGTGATATGGAAAGCAATGCAAACCCTGAAACACTAATTGCAGCAGTCGAGTTGCCCATAGTGGGGTTAAACGTCGATGATAAATCGCATTCTGTTAATTTATAATCTAAGGAGAGAAAACGGGACGTGTGTATGTAAATTGGAACATGGCTATCTGTGACACAGATATTCAATAACAGTCAATCAAATCATGAAAATATAGTATCAAATAAGGGTTGTATACATCATTTGCAAGCATTAATAATGGATTGTCACTGATGCACCTGCTGGTTGGCACTGTAAGTGAATCGATGTAGCACCACCATAGTTGACAGTTATTTGGTACTGTCACCAATATGGATATTGTTATATTCGGATTTGCTGTTATACGATATCAAAGTTATCTCAAATTAAGGAATGCATCTCACTCATGCATGGCTATAATCTATTGTCTATGTTTGGGTTTTTCTTTTAGTTCTTAATCATCTCTTCTATGTTTGTATTAGGTTTTGGACTCAAGAACTGCACAATCATTAACTGTCTAAACGAGCATATGGTGCACTGAAATTGACACCGATAATGTTATGACTACATAGAAATGGTAGGTCTACAACTTGCGATTTTTAGATTTGTAGAGTTTAGTCATCAACCGATCTAATTTGGTGATTTCTTGAGGTCGATTGCTAAACGTATACCATTTGTTGTCAATAAACTCATAAAATCTTAATGATATAAGTTACAGAGAACCTGCGTTCGAATCGGATTGGTGAGTACGAAGTATCCCTTCCTTCAACAGATTATGTGCATCTACGATGGCCTTATGTTTTATATTAAAAAAGACTGGAATGATTCTTTCATTTAAAATAAGGAACACTAGTGTTAAGGGTAGACAGCCAAATGACTTTATACAATTGCAAAGAAACTTATATTGTATAGTCTAAAATTTATTTTGTCAGTATCAACATTTGATTCATAACGACATTAAAGTATTGGAAGAGAGAAGAAATGGTGTTGTCAGTTTTTTTTAGCGTAAATATCAGTTGAACTGACTTTCATTTGAAGCAAAAATGAAGAAACTATGATTCTCTTTGAACTTAACCATACTTCAGCATTATTTAATATTAACATGAAGTTATTGTTCTTGATTTAATACAATCTGATCAAAATGCAGATCATGTGTCTAAGCTTAGCTTTCAAGGATCTGACAACACACCATTTGACTTTCTGTCCTCGTAATTATCACATCAGCCAATGAAATTTCAGCCTTAAAAATTTTGAAGATGTGTATTATTCTGCAGAACCAGAGGATCTTTACAACAGGAAGTAGAACCGAACGTTTTCATATCATTGTTAGCAAAGCTTGGACACAGGATTTATATGTTAAACAGATTGAATTATATTTATATTGGTTGGTGGTCCGTTATGAAATATCTGTTTCAGCGACGACTACGGATATGTCATAATCACAATCCCGCTCCCTTTTCCTTGAATGTTACCTGTTGATTAAACTTATCACAAGGTGCATACTTATATGACCATCACAACGGATACCAAATATAGAGCACAAGTTGCCTACCCTTCAAGAGCACCTCAGATCACCCCAGCTTTTAGTGGACCTGTGTTGCTCTTAAGTTATCTATGTTTTCATATTTTGTTCTGATTTTGGTCTTTTAGTCTTAATTCGATTTTCCCTATGGCATTGTCACTTACTTTTCGACTTATGAGTTATGATACCCTTTGGTATCTTACGCCTCTCTATTGTAAGTTTCGAGGATTCTGCGAAGAGGATGAATAGGTTCTCTCTTCTAATTATATCATAGATCTACATCATAAAAGATTATATATTTACAATCATATTATTACCTCCCGCTGTTTTACGTCCACTTTTGCCAGGCAGATACTGTTCGAACGGACACGGATCGTCAAGTTTTCTTGAACCATCTAAAACTAACAAGTAAATTGCTCGATATGTCAAAAAAGTTTGATGGGTACTATAGAATACATCTTGTCCTCCAAAGTCCCAAATGATAACAGGAGCTATTTTCTTCTGATGTAGTTTCTTCTTTCCAGCCTTCAGTGATTCCTCCAAAAATCTTTCTTTTGTCACAGACACCTTTATTTCCTTAACTGGTTTGTTTACACCAAACATCGTCTTTAATTTTCTAACAACACCACGATTTTTTACTACTTCAGTAGTAATAGTATTTTCTTGGGATTTTATTTCTGTCTTGGAATGCAATTCTCCTGTGAAAGTTGCTAATAGTTCAACAATTTCAATTAATTCATATAAATGACGCTAACTGAAGCGTATTTTTTTTTTAAAGTTACAGATCAATCAACTATGTATTTGTTTACCTATGATACATAATCAAACTTTATTCACAACTGACTTTTGCATTAGAAACCGAATAAACATTCATAAAAATTATGTTATGTTTGAGTCTTTCGACTGTACATCGAACTGTTGAAATAGCTTTTTGAACTTATGATGGAAATTTGCCAATAATGTTAAATGTCTTATTTTATTCCATAGAACTCGGAAAAACCAGAGCATTTATCGTAATAGAAAAAAAAAAAAAAAAAAAAAAAAAAAAAAAAACGGTGCCAATTTTACTTCTCAAGATACGCATTTTGATACTTAATGTTTGTTAAATGATGTACAAGGCCAAAATGTTGTGGAACCAAAAACCAATTAAAAACGTCGAAAAGCTGAATTGACCGAAAGGACTTAAAGTTTACCCAAAAACAACAAAATAGTAGAGTTTAGTTATATTATTTCGCATAAACAATACTGGGATATATTTTCGAATTTCATATACGTATCGTTAATTACGTTTCTAATGATCAAAATGTTCAGAAACGGATTAAATAATGCTTTTATGTACTTTAAACTAAGTTCTCTATGGATGTTTTTTTCTTTTACATTTATTACGAATCCATAACGTTTAATTGACAGACACATAGTTCAATCGGTAATTTTCAATCGAAAACTTTGGGTGTTAATTAACTTTAGGTTGTTGTTGCCGAAGTTTACCGAACCTGACCTTGATACAGATCATGGATAGTGAGGTGAGCACATTAATGATAAATGTGATGCTAGAGAGATGTTTATTTAGATGTGTTTTTCCTTATATCCAATGCGTTCCTATTTGTTATTTAACTATTTTCATAACAGTAAGAAAATGATTTAGTGAAGTATATTTTTTCTGTCAAATCTGTTAATACTATCTATCTTCCATGTTTGTTTACATTTTCTTCCATCACAGTTTTTCCTTTGAACTTTCGAATTGCGATTATCTAATTTATAACGAGACGACCCATGTTGATGTCGCAGTGAATAGAAAAGCTGTCACCATTGACGATGGATAAGAGTACGGGAAGACAATAATTCAATAGCCGTACATTTCCTGAAGATTCGGATGAAATAAAACATTGTATGTTAAAAAAAGTATATGTACACGTGTTTTTATGATGAAAATTACCAATTCAATTATATTAAACATACTCTTCTTTTTTACTTAAATTGAAGTATCATATGCTTTTAAGATGATGAAATATTAAAAAAAAGCTCTCGCCGCGAGGATGCCTTTTGGTGATGATGCGACTTAAAGCAATCAACAAAATAAGCAATCAATCAAGACATATTCTATATGTGCTTTGAACATTCAAACGACAAACTCTTGTTTATTTCAAAATAATTTGATTTTGGATGCAACACGTCTTTTGATTGTCTGAAATGTTTTTGTCTATCAGCTTATAGACATAATTGTGTCATATGACCATGACTTCATTAACGTTTTTTCATGGTTTACTCATTAAAAAGGGAATTTAGAATTAAATTATATTGAATAACTGTAACTTATATTCCGTCTTTTCGAAATACCCTCAAAAATGTGGTGCGCACTTTTAAATAACGCCTATACGGATTAATCAGTGTGCACTACACTTTTGATGTTTTTTCTTCATAGACAAAAAAAATATTGCAGTCATTCCTGAATAATGTTTTCATAAATGAATGATACATTGTGGCTTAAAACAATTGATGTAATCAAGCATTTTAGTTACTTTTGTAATTGCTTTCATACCCGCAATATCATTTCAGATTAAACTTTAAATTGTTTGATACAGTCATACCTGCATGAGAATATTCGTCTTTTAATTTTGCAAGTTCAAATGTTTCATTTTCTTGAATCACTTTTTCATCAAATCTATCCGACATTGTTTCTGAAAGGACTGGTAAAGGAGTAATTACTATATTTCCGCTTTGGAATGGTTCTTCATTGGAGTCTGTTGAGAGAAACGACGATGCCTTAATATCAATTAGTTTTTCTTCAAAAGAGTGTCAACAGACACCAGAGGGACAGTCAAACTCATAGATCGAAAACAAACTGACAACGTCATGGCCAAAAATAAAAAGACAAACAGACAAATAATAGTACAGATGACACAACATAGAAAACTAAAGACTAAGCAACACGAACCCCACCAAAAACTGGGGGCGATCTCAGGTGCTCCGGAAGGGTTAGCAGATCCTGCTCCACATGAGGCACCCGTCGTGTTGCTTATGTTATTACAAATCCGGTGAATAGTCTAATTCGGAAGGTCACATTCGTGAAAAGGTAATGGTATTGTAGTTACGACATAAGGAACATATCCGATATCATCTGTGAAACGGTTATTCCATAACGGTCAACCAACTCGTGATGGCGTCCGTTAAATTTACGAAGGGATGATTTCAACTTCATCATTTGGAACTCTTGGCTTAAAAGCTTCCTCTATCAAGGAAATCATGATAGGAAGTAAAAACCCAGGGATATCGTATCAATTGGGAGATATATGCTCCGTATGCAGGCGCTGCTGGAATGTTGCTACATAGAAATGGAAAGTTCACAATTGGGAAGCTGAAATCATCTCTTTTGTCGTAAAGTTTTGTTTTCAACCGACCCTCATTGTCAATTTCTAGATGTAAGTCAAGATATGAGGCAGACTTAACTGTATCTGGAGTATCCTTTATCTTCAGTTCGATGGGATAGATTCGTTCAACATAGTCACCAAATTTTGTATTATTTAGTGAGAGAACATCATCTATAACGTAAAGTTAAAGGATATTGCTAACTTCTTATCTTTCTTCCTAAGAAGTTCCTGTATGAAGTCAGCCTCATAATAATAAAGAAACAAAACTTATGCCATGAATGAAATTTTGAGCAGCATCGTAATCTGACTTGCTGTACTCGAATTTCAATTGATCATTCTTGGCAGGTAACGTATCATGTTTTGCATGTATTACTATAAATTCAGCTCCCTGAAGTGTTTCATCATCAGGCAATGAATCAACGACAGTCGCATTCACCAAATCATTCATGGTGACTTTTTCCTTTGTTTTCATAGATTCACTAGGATCTGATGAGACATTGTCGGGTTTAATCTCACCATGAGCTCGCATTTCTTGATAAGAGGGTATACCTTTATCCTTTAGGTTTCTTGATATACCTTCACTTTGTCGAGAAGATTGTTTGATCAATACTTCTGATAATGAAAAATATAAAAAAAAAAATATGACAGGAGCTTTTTTTTTTATTACGCAAACTGGTATCTTTTATACTGTGTAATTTCACAAATAGTAAACGATCTACAATGAAACTTTAATCCTATGATACGAAATGATTTTACAATCGGGAATTAGAATCAGATGACAAACCTGTCTAGTGTTTGCGTCTTTCGTTGAAATGTTGTATTGTTGTCGTAAAGAAAGATTGGTTGATACCAGTGAAGATTGGTTTCAACATGGAATGGAAAAATATAAATTGTTCAAAAAGAAGGTATCTTAAGAACTATTATTATGCCCCTTAAATTACAATATATATCAAAATCATTCAAGACCTTCAAATTTATGTGAACAAGGTAATACACACATAGGAAAAATGATATAAGCAAAGAATTAACCCCAACATATATTTGACATATAATGTCATGTTTATAAACTACATTTGATAGCGAAACATCTGTTTGGGTTATGACTTCGTTAACATTCAGTTATGTGTGACAACATTTCAAAATGAGAATGTTTCGACTGTATTGCAGTTTGTACTAATTTTAAGAAGATTGAAGCGTTAATGTGAATAATATGTTCGACAAAAAAAAAAAATGAAAACTGGTATCTGTCAAACGCATGTTTAATGTACACCAGAAGGATGTTACTTGAAGATTAATAATACTTTGTTTTTCAAATTTCGAATCCAAGGGCCAAACCAGTGGCCTCATATTTTGGCCTTGAAACAATTACTTGATTATAATTTTGATTTACCTATATTGCATATGTTAGCTTCGGATATTACTACGACAAAGCCTTTCAAATTTGTAAAATGAGTTTTGTTATTACTGTATTTTTATTGGTAAATATGATATGTAATTGAAAAAAGCAATTCATTCTAAATTTGGTAATTGTTTGTACACCCTTCTTTCTCACTGACGTCTACAGTGTGCGTATAATGTGTGCTGTTACACCACTTTCCAATACTGATTCACCAGGAAAGGACTGAGCGATCATAAACATGTTCAATGCCTCCACGTTTTTTATGTGCCTATTCAAAGTCAGAAGCTCATATTTCATATGTAATTTATTCAATGTTGAAGGCCGACAGGTAATTTATAAGTATGTAAATCCATGTTATTTGAACTCACATGGATACATGTATTATCTCTTTTGGATACCACATTTTTTTATTTCATTTACAATATCAACTGATTTGTCTTGAATTTTGTTTATAGACTTTCAAAATTAAAATCTGTCTTTAAAGGACAATAAACTAAATCGTATTTTCTTAAGCCATACCTGCGTGAGAATTTTCGTCTTTTGCCTTTGCTGGAACAAATAGCTCAATTGTTTGATCTAGATGATTCACTAGATTTTCACTGACCTCAGCTGGTTTGTCACAAAGAATTGGCGATTGGTTGATAGATGAACTTGTTCTTTGCTCTTCTTCAACAATTCTTCCATCAGTAAAGTTCGGATCAGCATCCGTTAAGTAACTACTGTACCCATTCTATTGTTCTGGTCTTAAAAAAAAAACCAAAAAAAAAACAAAACAAAAATAAATATTATAATAAGACTAAAGATCATTATAAGTTGATAGTATAATAGAATAAATATGATAGTCAAACATAAACGTTAATTAAAAAACATTTAAAAGGGGGAAGTCCATAAAGACTGACAAAACCAAACGCTCGACTACTAGTATAT